TTGTGTGTCGGAATGCGTAAAGTCACCACGAAAGGACAACGTGCCTGAAATTACCTGTAAGGCTTACCTGAGCTCTATTCCATTTTGTTGAGAAGCTAAAATGAGTCCATCAGGCTCATGTTGCTTTGAGCACTACGTGAATACGATTCATTGAAAACTAGCTTGCAGCAACGTACTCTTTACCACTAGCATTATCTGACTGAAGTTTTAATCATTGTTGTGCGAAAGCTCTGCAAAAATCTATGGAAATAATGTATGGGAATCACCTAGCACGAAATTCAGCTTCCACTAGTCGACCTTAGAATGGAAACTTTTCTCTTATGTTTAGAAAATGGCATCTGAAGAGGGTATCGTGAAAGCTTTAACCCTTAGTTCCCGTGTAGGAGTAGCACATGACGTCATGTCTCTTCAGGGATGAGAAAACCTTAGACGAGCATGTTTACAGTATCGACGCTTCGAATTCTCATGACTATTCAGACTATCCAGCCACACCATCGAACGTTTCAATCGACACAGCCGTTGTGATCGATAACGGAAAGTTCCTCGAAACAACTGTTACCTGGTCGGCAGTTAAGGGTAAGCACAACTCGTCCACGTGGCATGACTTTATAGACGGGGTTTACGTAAAAAACGAATGCGTTCTTATTTGTGTTCGATAATGAGCTATAATTTGTTACTACGCTTAGTTTGTCGCGTTATGAAATTCCTTAATAGTTGGCTTGTAACTTGTAATCTTATGAATAACTATAATCGCACATATGAGTATTCTATCACCTACGGAAAAGATGCCAAAGTTAAACTAACCATAGATGACAAGAATGTTCAACTAAAAACCTTTCAAAGAGCTACCGATCAACGCCGTAGTTCTGTCGATGACCTGAAGTTATTTCTTATTAATTAATTCGTCCCAATCATACCATGAGCTCCGACGCTATCTACCTCAGAATGTTGTTTTTGATACGGGGAAGATCTTGTTGTCTCAAGGTGTCACTTACACCAACGCTGTTTGTTATGAAACCAAGATGTATTTCTAAGATTTTGTTGCTAGATTGTGAAAGCAATTCATTGAGAAAGTAACGTGTCAGTATAACTCTTTGAGGTTCTGAGAACCATAACATTTGTCGAGAGGTTAACCACAGCCGACTGGTTATGGCATTGATAACTTTGGGTTAACTACGAACACAATGACTGAAAAGTAGTGAAATGTTCCATATGTTCAGATCTCGGCCGAACCGGTTTCTACTTGCTCTACAGTGCCGTTGGTGAGCAATGTCAACGAGATTTTCCTGGCTATTTTGCCTCTAACATCGGTCCGGTACGTTGTCGATAAGCATGTCGTTGTCTTGATGGCGTAATTTCTAGAAGATTAATAGCTTCGACTTATTGCATTTCACTCAATTCATCATCATATCCACTAGCGAGCAGGGCGATGCATGTGTTGTTCCATCTTCTAGTTAAAATCTGGTCGTCACAAAGGTGACGTTACTCATTGATGATCCATCACCATGCTGAGATTCATTTCGACTTCACGTCATAGCTGGTGGCAGTTTATATCAAAAATCAAATGTTATATTTGAATATAAAAATCGTCTCTGAAAGTCAATGCAACTAGAAGTTCGAGTTGGTACGAAGCCATATGGTGGTTCAAACTCGAGTTCTCAACTCTCAAAATGCACAAATTGACAACAAATCCACGAAGATGTAAATATTTCCAAGTTAATCTATCATTTGAATCTCAAATATCGATTACTTTACTTTCTGAATTAAGCACATAGGCAGTTTTTGAATTACTTTGTAGAACTGATAACTGTTCAAAGCTTGAAGCCAAGCAGTTAAGACTCTTTAGCCGATAAAATATTTATCTTCAAAAAATGAAATTCTTACAGAAGTAAAATATGTCATCTGGTGACTGGAAAAAGGCTGATTAAATAAAGTATTCTTCATTTTTCTTTTACTGCACGACTTGACATCACATCTATCACACTGTGCCAGTCCCACAACTTCTTTGCATTCAACTTGAACAAACGAGTGTAAGAGAAGTAACGTCTAGAAATATCGCTTCTAGGACGTCGGATATAAAATACCATCTACATGTAGTAGCTCTAGTCGCATGGTGATAAATCTCGCTCTGATCCACAAGGGCCGCGACTGCCTGTGGCGTTGACGACCTGGGGCAGAGTTTTGGCTACGCTGACCTCGGGACTCCAGTGGAAACATTATAGCTTAACGAGCAAAACTCTGAAAAACGAAGGTTTTGCTGGCGCCCGTACAGTCAGTGAGGATGGGCTGTCCAAGTATCCAATTGTCACTGGATAACTTTGCGTAAACTCTCTGGTAACTAAGGGTTTGGACAAGATGTAGAGACGATAAGAAGCATCAGTTTGGCACCATGCTCGTTTAGCTTTGCTGCACTACAGCCAGAAATTTTTTTCTACTTTACAACTTAAGAATAGATTTTGGTTCTCAAAAAGAACGACTTTGGTAACCTCGATTAAACACATGGTTTTTTCGTATCCACTAAAAGATTGTGTCGAATATAGGCTCACGACACATCAGATGATCTTATTACGCGCGTAGAAATCGAAGTTCTGGAGTGGAAAGTCTACCACGCAAGATTTATGATCCCTGAATATTTTTGACTCTTCTTATCTTTATCCTGATCCGACACTATCGCTTACTTATGCCTTCAGTCCAATGATAAAAAATAGCCTGGACGTGGTCTCGAAACCATTCACCAATCCCCTTCTATGATATCTCAACGTAGAAATATAGCTCTAATCTTCTTCTTGTTCCTACGTTCAATTTGAATTGAGAAGGTACTAGCTTGTCCTATAAAAAAGTTCGGGTAGAATTAATCATCATCTAGTGTCCAGTGAATGCTTTAATGACATTTGAGAATACGGGTTTAGAAAAACGGCATCACAATGCTTTCGATGCCGTTGCTGGCAAAGACGCGCAGTTGTTGCGGTCTTACACAGAATCAGACGGCAATTAATGGTGTGCGATCCGCGTTGCAGCTATCCACATCCAGCAAGCTTGTACACTTACCTAATAGATAGAAAGAAGTTAGCAATATGAATTAAGTGAATGAAAATAGGGAATTATACTATAATTCCAGCTTAGCTGGGTTCAATGCGGTCTAGTGCTCCCCAGATCAATCCCATTGACGGGTGATTGTTGATAGCACCTATAGGTCAATAGTACGGCTGAGAGAAAGGCGAAGAGGACTCGCATAGTGTGGTGGTGAACGCGTTAGCCCCCGGATAGGGTAGTAACGTGTTTGCTTCCCACCACAAACACCAGTGGTGCGGAGTTCTGCAAGTATCTCAGCATCATTGAAATTAGGAATAGTTTATTAAGAATCTAGCGCACCGGTTACTAGAATAATTTGGTGAAGATTGTCATTCCAAAGCCAATAAACAGCTAATAAGAATCCTCCACAAGATTATTGTGCGGGCCCAAAGAAAGTTTTCTTTTGATCCTCACGTTAGTTCATACCTTTCCTTCCCTCTCTTTTCCACCTCTTAGTCCGGGATTATTCTTTCTTGCCCGTATCAGAAAATTCTCGTGTCATTACCACATATTGTCAGTGGCACCTGCAGATCGAAATGAGTTCCACTACTTCATAGAATTTGGTATAGAAAAAGTATTCGCTCAGTATAAGAAATGACGAGTACGTAGTTGAAGATGTAGATTTGAACCACATAACGTATTACGTAAGCAATCATTATGAAAGCCTCATTCATAAAATCATCGACGCTAAAGGGACGGACGACTTGATCAGCTAGGAAACTGGGTAGACTAGATCAGCCACATTTGTCAAACAAAAGATCCCTCCTTGCCTATAACTGCCTTCGTTTGTCTATCTAACCTTGTTTTGTTTTGCAAATAAGTAGTTTTAAGCCAAGGAAAACCCTAAACATTTAGAAGGAACGTTCACACCAGATTCCATTACTCTTCAACAATCATCCGTTAGTGATCAACCATGATTGTGAATACAAGTGAGTTACTCTAGTTACTACATTATGTGTGCTCCGATAAGGTCATAGAAGTTCGCCTTAGGCTTGAGATGCACTCTAAACCATATCCATACGGAGATGCAGCTTATACCACCATTCGGCACCATGTCGTCCCTCACTGCATCGACAGTTTCTGCGCTTGTAGCGGTGAGTGCACGGACTACCGTATTCTTTTAGATATTTGGTGATGAATTTGTAATCTTCGGAGGTACTTGATATTAAAATTTACTTAATGAGCTGTCCAGTTGGACTGCTTCACCTCGCCATTCAGCCCTTTATATTATAGTATTCCGTCTTTTCTTCCTTTAGCAATTTTCAATATCTTCGAAATAATTGTATTTTTTTAAGAAGGATGTTCAAAATGTGGACTATTTGAAAAAATCTAGTCACCCATATTACCCATAAGTTTTATAATCTGTAAGTTTCCACTGCTTTTGGTGAGAAGACTGCTGTGAGAGGCTTGCCAAGCTCTCTTATAGGGTTGTTGGTTGGGTGGACGTGTGTTATTTGTTGTAGGAAACCCAGTCCGAACTTCTCATTCACTTCACTGTAGGATTTTTAGAAGAGTAGACTTACAATATTCAAGCCACGTGTACAAAAGAGGAAGCGTGTACCGCACTGAATAGAGGCGGTCCTCAAGTACATACCAAATCTGTCGATAGTTCGATCCAGCTCCATGGGCCACTAGAAATTCCATCCCTTCAGCGTCGGCAAATTGGCCTCTCTGACCTCTCCGGAAGGGTAGCAGGACTGGCTCGATACATCGTTAGGCAACCACAAGTAAACGTATAGGCCAGGTATGCACTCATTCACCTTGAAAGATTCGTGATGATGTCGATGGCTCTTGGAGTATCCCTCAGGCACTGATCAACGATGAAAGCATTATCCTTTATTGTTTGTACAAAATTAGGTCCGCCAACGTGTGCATTCATTGATAACGTGTATGTGTATAGTATTTTAAGCTATTTCAGTGAAGCAGAGATGGCTAGCTCATTCGGTGAGTCCAGCTGTATTTCGGCACAATTACACTGACAGTTAATTAACACAGCTCAAAGGATCACGATACAGACTCCTGGTTGTATGTCCATGAAATGTGGACCATAGCCTAGATTCTTGTGATCCGTTATAATTGGATGCCTGATAGTCTTCAGATATGCAACCCTTCGCACTGGATCACTTGCTCTGTTTTACGATCAATTTTAGATGGATGGGAACTCAAAGTTGGAACAGCTGTGCTTGCTGGTCACAGCCTGTCGGTCTAAAGTGATGGTAGGCCAGTCGGTCCACAAAGAAAGAAAGATCTCATTCGAAAAAACTGTTATCTCGCGAGAAATCGCTGCATCAGATCCAACAAAAGCGAATCGATTTTTCTTCATCTAAAAGTAATTTCGTGGCTTTGAGTTCATTACAGCAAATTGGTCTATGGATCTTATAGTGTAACAAGATAAGTGTAAGTTTAACAACAAACTCTGTCATAATTTCTCCACAGCCTCATCTGCACTAACCGAGGTGTGCTATGAGGTGTGAAAGGTGATTTGCAAAACTCGAAAGGACATATATAGACTGGTCCAATCAGATGGCAAAAATCTCAAATGCGACTTGAATCTGCGGTGAATCATGAAAGCACTAAAATAATAAAACGTTTGGCGTCGATCAATATTAGGGGCTGGTCATGCTTTTAATACTATTCGTAGCATCGTAGACATAGTTAAATGCACACTTACGCAATGCAATGACTTGCGGAGGCCTACCGATTTAGCAACAAAGTGTCTTTTATCCTTCCAGATCAGTCTGGTAGCAACTGGTCAACGACGGAGCGAAGGAAGGCTTGGTTTGCCTGGTGCACAGAACGTGGTCAAAGTAACTACCATGTGTGTGTAGCAGCGCAACTCTAACCACTGCGCTACCTACGCTCCGATGACAAGTGTGCATTTGAAATGAAAGTAAAAGCAAGAATAAGAATATGTAAGAAAAATTAAAGGGCTTAAATAACTACTAGGTAAAGACTATGAAAAAATCTTACTTAACGTTTGCCGTCTTGTTATACGTTGATTTACCATTCAGTCCATAAGCATTTCCTCCTTCACTTCATTGGAAATATCACAAGATCCATTCTGTCTTACTATGTATTCCATAATTAGGAGAAGGTGGAAAGAACACTTTTTATCTACAAATTAATCTACTTAAATCATTCGTGTGTATTGTATAGACATCGATCGATTGCAGATTGTAGTCCTTTAATTATGAAACAGAGATAAAGAGAAAGCAGTGACAACCATTAAAAGAAAGTGTTCACAGGTATACATAGATTCAAATGCTGCTCATGATAATTTTTTTTGTTTTTCATTATGTATTATGTATTTTCTACCATACCATAAAGTTCAGAAAAATTCCACTATATCAACGTTTAAAATTTGGATTAGACCGACTTTCGTTCCAGAACGAGCTGTTGAACTCCCGTCAATGTTGACGGCGAAGGAAATCCGTGAGGGTGTGGAGATCGGCTGGAGGCACATACCGAAGCCGAACCGCGTCTACACATTCTATATAACACTTCACGAACGGTAGGCTTTTTGTTAATACGTTATTTTTTTTTTACCAATCTTATCTCTTTATCACGCAAATAGTTGTAGTATCATCAATCGTGTGAGTTTAAATGCTCCAGTACTAATAGTCACCGGAACTAGTTCTGAAGTTTAATGTTGTGAGGAAGAATTCGTGTAAGAGATATTCGTCTCAGATTCCGTCCTCCCATAGAGTTCAAAGATCCAAATGCATTCCGATTTCGGATTGTTGATGACGGTGAGCGGGAGTTCCGCGGTAAACAGGTGCGTTAATGTTCAAAATGAGTTTTCGATTTAGTTCAGAAAAAAGCCAGTCCCTCTCAAATGGTCGACTTATTCGAGAAATTCATGACCTGTGTCAACTTTCATCATTATATGAGTACTAAACCTAGTATTCAATTATTTCTGTTTGTAATGTACTCTTTCGGTACGCCATTGCAGACAAGAGTTGAACAATTATGGCACACCAGCTATCTTATTGTGAAAACACTTTTCTATCATAGGGATCAAGCTATGAATATGGAAAACTGCGATATCGCTATATCATTACTTTAGTACGAATTGGGATTACATGTAGGCGCAATAGTGATCTGCTGCTTGAAAATAATGTCGATATGTGCCAACCCGTCGCCGTTAAAACAGTGCCAAAATTCCTCGGAACCAATGTGATCATCGTAAATTTAAAACTATCTGTATTTTTTACGGCTTAAATAAGTCTCCAACGAGAGCGAAATACTAATAACTTTAGAGTCCGTTTACTGTGTCAACCAATTAAAAGGTTATGATTCAGACTAGAGGTATGAAAACCATAGTTTCACAAGCAACTCATCAATAATAAACAGTAGGGCCAGTGAATGGTGCAGTTCATTACAGGGTCAAGTGAACTACTCATATGTATTCGAATATCCGTTGAAACGACTTGAGGAATACAAGGCGACCTTGTTCGCTGAAGATGACCAATACTGTCACACCGCGGATTCCACTATTCTCTTCAACACGTCCGCGCTGTCACCAAGCCGTACCGTAAACGTGCATCGGTCATTCGAAGGCACACCGTTCCGACCCAGTGATCAGTCTATTGTTGGTAAGGACCGTACTTCTCCGTACAATGTTAGATCAGTTTTCTTTCATTAATGAGTACCTAAAAACAAATATTTCTAGCGTTTCGCCCAGAGGCGTTAATTCTTTCAAATGTGTCGCTGATAACGCGAAACTGTGAAATTTTGACAATAACGAAGCCATCACGTTCCACAACCGTTTGAGTGACTCGTCGTTCATTTAGTTAAAATCACCCTTGATAGAGATCGAGTCTCCAATGGCGAAAAAAAAATTAACGACAGCTCCACATGCTACGCTGCCTTCGAACAAGAGTAGAAGGAAAATCGATGAACTCATTTCATTATTCCTAAATTTTTATTCCCTTCACTTTTTTGTCGTTCCACTCTCATCCACATGGCGAAAAGTCCTAAGAACAGCAATCTCAGGATCGGCTTTCGAGTATCGAAAATCGACGATATGTGAGGATGGTTCATGTAAGAAGAAACACGTTTCATGACGCACCATTTCTACTTGACCACTGTTTGCCAAAGTGGACAAATTCTTACGAGGGACTCGACATATCGTAACCACATAGAATCGCCGATTTCTGTGAAAGTATTCTTCAGCTTAGATAACCCTAGTCGGTAGACGAGTTATGGGATAAACACTAAGCAGTACATTAACTCCTCTTCACCTGTTTTGCTATAATTACGAGGTAGAGTATCAATGAGAGAGGGAGCGTTATTATTTGAAATAGTGTTACTAAACAAGTTGTTTCAAAGCAACACTTGAGATTTGCTAATCGTGAATTGGAAAATGGAATACACATATAGATAACACTTCTTGTAAAGGGTTTAACGGAAACCATATCACCATCTGAAATCTTAATGAGCATTTCCAAATGATTTCTGCCCAGGTGAGCCCACCTAATTAGTTATTGTTGAGACGTTCAGGAATTGCAAACAACACTGTGACATCATCTGTTCGACACGGTGACACAGTAAATATGCAAATCGAACAAAGGGCACCGACACTCAACAAATTCTCAGCGATTCTGAATGAAGTAAGTTCTTCGTGCAGGCTCAGAAGATAAAAAGTATCTGAAAACAAACATGTTTAATGAAGGCATCCTCTTCCGTCAACTATATCAACAGCAACGATCATATACAATCAACTCCTATCGATAAATCCACATTCGCGATTCGATTTCAAATGCATAGTCATCAATCTCTCTCTACTTTCCGAGAGTCAAGCTTAGATAAACATCTGGATTATGGACAACTTAGAAGTTTCCGGTCCACAGAAATAGAATCTGTGCATGTGAAGTGATCTGATTTGAGTTCCTTAGGCTAATGGTTAATAGTTTCCTTTTTATGTCATAGATGATCGAACCATTCCACTATTCCTGAAACTCCTGTCTTTTTGTAAGTAATATAGGAAAGACGCGGGAACACTAAAATTGACGCCAATACCATAAAACGGGACAGATTTTGGGAATGAGATGTCTAAGCTGAGTTTCCTACAGTAAGGTTCATCCACTTATTGTTGAAGTGCTATCGATCTTTTGTGAATCAATTTCTTCGTTTTCATCGCTATGGTGGTTCCTTGCTTTGTGCTTTCTGTAGACGTGAGATTTAAATATTGCTCCACAAATATTATTTAACCCATAAAGACAGTCAGTCTTAAGATTTTTCAATAATTCGACAATTTAACGAAAAAAAAAGGGATTCCACTTGCTAGACAGTTCTAAATAGATAACATTTACAGTTGGCTGATTTCAACTCTCTACTAGTTGCAGGTCGACCTGTCGTTGTTCATCGGATTTTTGTTGTTGTTCACCATGCTCAGTCCGCTATGCATGGTCTTTGTCTACTGCTTCTATCGAAAGCGAAAAAGTTCGAAAAAACAAAAACTACCGCGATTCGGTCCCTGGACATTATCGCATTCACGGTCTCTTCTCTTCTCTTTCTTCTTTCTTTGTTACTTCATTTTCAATGAGCCAGGATTTTTCGTCAGCCTAAAAAGTACCAGTAACAAGTGGAAAATTGCAATTTGTAATAAATCTGTAGAACCTTTTGAAATGTAGAAAAAAATTATGCTTATTGATCGAGTCATACTGAGAGCAAAGCAGTGCTTTCTGAACGATATTGCCTTCCTAATCTAACTATTCGCTTTATCTTAAGTCTTGAAAAGTTTCTAGTCCAGTCGAGTAAGTCTATTGAGATTCGACATGGAAAGGAGCATCTTATTTCAACTTATATTGATTTGCTTCACAGGCATTCCATCCTCGAGACGAACATTCTCTATCGACAGCCGATTGAGTTTAAAACCCCACAAACAGAGGAAGATTGGCTTATTCCAAGCGAAGACGTCAGCGTCGGAGCTGTAATTGGTAACGTTCTTGCGTGCGCTGTAGTAAACAGAATTTCTATTATATGTTTGAGAATTGAGATTATGAAGCAGAACCGATCAGATATCACGAAGTTCAATATCTTGTCTTTAGTATAATGTAGACAACTTTTATATTAAAACGGTCGGATAGCGCAATGATTAGAGATGCGTCGTAAAACGCATATGTCGTTGCTTCGATCCGGCATTCAAAGTAAACTTTCTATCTCTGATGTCTGGCATTATGAAAACAACTTGACACATCGCATCGCCATGGTAAAGATCAACGTCACAAGCTTTACGCCTTGTCCCATCATCATATTAAAAACGCCGTCCAAAGATTACTTTTAATAAGCTAATCGAATGACGTTTTGAGCAAGTGTTTTAGGAGAAGGTGCTTTCGGACTAGTGTGTAAGGGTACGATGAGCGGTCCAAAGGGAATGGCTGTCAGAGTTGCGATAAAACAACTTAAGGTGAACGCTATTGATGAGGAACGCGAAGAGTTCCTTAGAGAAATGGATATCATGAAGCAGGCAAGCTACCTTAGGAAACGTATATCTTGGAAATAAGTGATGGTTCTATGTTTATTTTTAAAATCAAGGAACCTCTTTACATTAGCGTAAACAACGACATTCAATAATTCATCTTAAGCTGTATCGGTTCACTAGAAGGCTACTCAGTTATCACAACCATACCCCACATTGTTGGTCGTAAAACCGATGTTGTCCTTAGCACAAGATACTTCCATAGATAGTTGAATTACATTTGTTCACATGTTTCGCAGGTCCTAGAATTCTGTTGTTTGGTTTATTGGCTTGCAAACGGCTTCTATAGAAGTGGTAGAGTTCGTGTGTCCGTTTGGGTAAAGCAAGAGATCTCTCTTCTTCTTCTCACATTAATATATACTGTGGTTTATCCTGAAACCACGACACAGATGTGCTAGAGCAGTCTTACGCAATATCGACATTCGCAAGCTATTGTAGATCAGGAGATTTACTGCCTTACCACTACATGTCTCCAAGAGCGGCATTGATTCCAGTGCTTAAGTGGTAGACTGAGTGAGCGATCGAAGACGATGTTATAAGCTAACCCTAGTTTTACTTATAGTCCGAAATGAACACTACTTTGATCTCCTCAGGCTAGCCACTATCCACCAAATTTTGGTAGGATTAGCTTCGACTAGTTAACTTACCACTTTCCGTGCAATGAAAAAATAGTGTAGTGGTCAATTTCCAGCCGATCCAGTACTATGAATTCAACATGGTTTATGACATCCATAGTTTGTTTGATAATTCAGGATTTATCTGAATTTTGCCTCTGTCCTTCATTTATTTGACGGCTTCAGCTCTGGAACTTACTCTTTTCTTGTCCGTTGAGGATAATTTACTATTCTTATTTCAATATTTCTGTATTCATTTGTCTTATTCTTCCTTGCTTCTCACTAACTATCGTAGATCTTCAGGTTGGTCGTCACCCGAATATTGTCACGATGTATGGCTTGTGCGAGGAGAAGAATTTTCAATGCATGGTTATGGAATACGTTCCGTTCGGCGACCTTAAGCACTATCTGCAAAATCTTCGCAAACAGGTGACTGCATCAATTGGTTTAAAATTATTCTTACGGAGCGCTTCAAACTGAGTTTCAATACTACTGCACAGATGAATTGAATGATAAGGGATAAAGCTCTTGGCGTTGGGATGCGCCTCGCATTAGACTTCACTAAGCATCGTTGGAGGTGATTGAATGTATATCTGGCCTTTACAATAAGTGTCCTACCGATGTATTGAGCCAGTGCTAATTTCCTCTCAGACGAGTTTGGTACCAATTTTTTGACCCCGGAGGGATGGAATGCTTGGTAAGCCACAGGCGTGGGGATCGATCCCATGTGCGTGCTGCGGGGCGCCTCCGACTACTGCGCCACATGCACCCTAATTTAGGGTACTGGAAAATATACATGCGCTTCTAAAGTCAGCTTTATAAGGTTTATAGTCATGGGATATATTGAATAAACCACTATAGAGACGTAGTTGTGAATGAAATATTTGTCGTCAATATTGTAGCAGTTCATAAACCTAATATCCAATAACAGAAGCTTAACTACAATACGGAAAAGCATTTTTGTAAGTTTATTAAGCCCATGAAACTCGACGACACTACAGTTCATTAGCTTATGAACAGTAACTGTGCATCATATGCAACTTTACTTTCTTTTCACTATGTGCGAATGCGATTAGGGTCCGTGGAGTGCAATGGTTATAACTGCTTCATGATACGAGATAGGCCGTTGGTTCAACCCCTTGCATCTACCCTATTTAGTCTCTCTCCTTCCAAGATCGAAAAATCACTACTATACGTTATCTTATAAAGTAAAAAACACCGATTTGACACATCAATAGGTCATCGCAATTCACTGAATAGGTCAAGTATTCATCCAATCACCTTTACGACACTATACATTGAATCTAATGCATGGTGCATTGCTAAGAATTCATTAAAGCCGAACTCTTTACCCGTTAGTCTTTCACGCGCAAAGTGATGAGATCGAGAGCTGTTAAAACAATCCCTGTGTTTGAGAGATCGGCTTAAATGACACGTGTTTGTGCTAGAAAGCACATGTTCATTAACTGTGTCGCAACTCAGCGAACAGCGATGAAGCGCCAGTGTTGTTGGCGAACGGACAAGATATCCTCACTTTTCATCACACAGCAGTGTGATGTTCACAAAAACGTTTCTTTCCTCTACTTTTCTGCTTCACTAAGCAATCCGATAGGCAGTGAACACAAGTAAATAGCCTCCATGCCCACTTTTCGTTGAAAAACGCTTTCAACATTCACAGCTTGGTAGCATTTAATCAGGATGAAAATATCTGTGTTTACCTACTGGTAAGAAATATGTGGATTACTAGGGTTTTTCCAATTAATAAAAGTTACCATGAATACAAATGTGCTCGGAGTTTATAGACAAAAGCCAGCTAGTTTCCGAGCAACCATGGAAGCGGTTCCGAATAGAAAACGCGCGGCAAAGCAGTGATGCTGAGATATTTGCAAAACTCCGGTCAACTGGATTGACCTGGACAGCCCAAATCGGCAGTGAACCCCTAAGGCTGTAGTCGACGGGTGATTGTGGCACTGATCGATAGAACTAGCTTAGAGATCTATAAAATACGGATGAGAGAATGGCGAAACGAAGGACCAGCATGGTGAGGTGGTTAACGCCTTAGCCCTCGGAAAAGGTAACAGTGCGTTCGTCGCTGACCGCAAGCACCTGCGGTCCGGAGTTTTGCAAATAACTTAGCATCATTGTGGTTGTCGCACGTAACACCCTGCCGTGAAAAATTCGAATAGGGATAGGAATAAAGAAGTTAACATAGTACAAACCGTTTGACGTTATTCAATTCCTTGTGGATGCGCTATGCAATCGACTCCATTCGTAGTATTGCAGAGATGTTAAATGTATATTTGCCCTGTACAACAACTTTCGGAGGTTTACCAATATGTCAAATAAGTGTCTTTATTCTTACCGTCTGCTCTGGTAGCAATTAGTTGACTTCGGCTGGATGGGAGCCCTGGTTTTCCAAAGAGTGGGGTCGCACAAATGATGCTGTGTGTATTGCACCTTTTTTCTAGCAGCTGTGATACACGCGCCCAGAGTTATGAATTGAATAAGGAATAGCTAAAAACCGAAGGTGGAATCAACAAATCTTATGAGAGAATAGATGGGGCAGTTTAGCAATTTCATACCGGTATGCCTCCATATCTGTTCAATGCCTTAATGAGTTAAAGGATTAAGTGTAGTCGAGTTAATTACTGAACCCATTCCGCTCCTGGCTACCGTATTTCATGGCTGGCCCTACGACTATGCGCAATTTTTCGTCGGATGCGGATTTCGTGGTCTTTTGACAATTCACAAAAGTCTTTCCTTGAGGAGTAGAGGACTAGAGGGGTTTTCAATATGAAAGATTGCAGGAGAGAGTTTGCTCTAGTTTTATGGGTATGATTCGTATGTATCCTACTATTTACTGGGTCTTACTATGGCTCATATTGCAAATACATTATTTTTTTTATACCAATACAATCCGTAAAATAACCATGATTCATAGGGATTGAAATGGAATAACAAGTAGCTATTATTCAAATTACCGGTCAATGAACTTTTCCGAAACGTTTTGTTTAAATCACCAAGTATGAAGAATGGCTTTTCTGGTCCCACCCCAACTATTTTGATTTGATTCCGATTACCTATCGAATGAATATATATATCGTGGAGCAAAAAAGTTCGATAAACCATTACATTCAATATAGAAGCTATAGTGACGATTTGTCATACCAAACTTCAAACTTAGATAATTAAACCATTCTCCAAACAATATGCTACTATAGCAACGATAACGTAACGGAACTAATAACAACAATGTAGGTGATGTTGGTTCGGCAGATTCTAGTATAAAAATTGAAGAATTACTACTTAAAAGAATGGGTAGGGCAGAATATTTCCATAGGATGGTGAGCTTTCTATACCATTTGAACTGGGCGGAATTATTGATGGAACGAATTAGAGTTAATGCTCAAAAGGAGGTGCTAAAATTTTCTGATCTAATGGAGTGGATTCAGACTGAGGACCGTGTGGCGCAGTGGTCGGAGGTGCCCTGCAATACACATTAGGTCGATTCCCGCTCCACTGGTCCACCATATCTTCCATTACTTCGGGATCAGCGAATTGGTACCAGACTTGTCTGGGAAAACAGCAGCCCTGGCTCGATACATCGGTAGCCCACTGCGAGTCATTGCAAAAGCCAGATATGCATTCACCTCTAAATGATTCTTAATGAAGTCGAATGCATGGAGAATCTCTCAGGGACTGATCAACGCCGAGAACTTTTTTGAATGCAGCGGATTCAAAGTGTGGCACCGTAGATGCGAGAAATTGCACCAAATAAATATTAAACATCACAAGCAAGGACTTCATAGAGAAAATTTGCGAAAATTTGTGCGAAAAATGGTACAGAAGATTCGCTATTTTGTGGAGAACGTTCTTTACTATTTTATGATTTTTCCTTCTTTTCGCAAGTCAGTAATTTATAGGGGACATCGAGAGTTTGCTTTGCTTCAGAAAGGATGGAAACTTTAGCGTTTTTTCTAGCAACGTTAAGAATGAATTTGATCAAACTCTTTATTAAACCCGTTTACAAATGAATTAACTTCAAAATTAGCGCAGTTCTCCTCAGGAGAACTATCATTTCAAGTCTTATTCCGTAGTTTTTGATAAAGAAAGAAGTAGCAAGCCATATCTCATTTATATTCTCTTAGCGGTTGATAAGAGAACATAAATAGCTCTTAAGTCTCTCATTTTCCGACTGGGGTATTCTCTTTAACGGAAATTCTGTCAGAAATAAGGAATGGCTTCTGGATTTCAATTTCAGATATCCATAAGCGGACCCAGAAGCCTTTTGTTTATGTAGAAAAATAGACTGACTAGACGTAAGATCTATAAGAACCAATAATATAAATAAAGGAACACTGAAGTTATATTTTGAAGGTGTTTTGCCTTAGATTAATAATTTTCATTTCCTATTTAGCAGTTTACGTCCTGGTCATCGTTAGCTTCCTAGAATTTTTCTTCCACTCAGGAACTGAATTAAAGGCCTCAGATTTTAGTTATCGCTGGCAGTTTCCACGCTGAAAACTTCGTTACGAATGGAGGAAAGTGTCAACCCAGCAATGCACTCGTCACTTATAGGCGCCGAGCAACTGCAGTATTCATTGGATCCAGCCGAATTACAATCTTTCGCTGCTCAGGTTGCAAATGGCATGGTTCGTTTCCAAGTTTTCTCCTTTGATTCCAGAAATTTTTGCAAGGATAAAAGGGATATGTTGTGTTGGTCGACGCCATGTAATGCGTGAGCCGTGGTTTCAGGCCGTAAGATTTGAATATGGCATGCTAACACTTCATTCGAAGGGTTGTGCGAAAGTCTATAAGTCTCTGTATCACCTGTGTCACATGTAGTCCCGTTGATCGTCGAGTGACTCGAGCGGGCGCCAGTAAATCTTCCATTTTTCTCTGTCGCGTACGAGAGTAGCCCAGTGGGTTCTGCTCGCTCTAGGGATTCGTCGAGCATCATATCTCTCTTCTAGGCTCTTCCTGAAGAAATCTGACCATCGGGTCGGTGGTCTTACTGCGGTACGTTTGACATCCCGAGGATTCCATTCACTAACCTCTCTTGTCCATCGGTTGTCGTTAATACGCATTACGTGTCCGGCCCATCTTTTGCTCAGCTCTGGAGCTAGGTAGTTCATCATATTGATTTCCCGACCTAAATAGATATAACTGGAGCATTCGGAGATAATCCGTTCCTCATGAACACCGTTATTGTGAGATTTAGTCGAAGACCAATCTTTCCACAGGCTTTATCAAAGTCGTCAAGCATACGTTTCGCTTGGCTATTATTTGGTGTTCTTCAGACGTTCTTCTTGGTCCAGTCTTGGCGGTGAGTTCTCCAATGATAGCCTTGCAGAATGTATGGTCTTCTCTGTAGAACTTTTCCAAATCCATATAGAACGCTTCGACTTCTTCTTCGTCATAGTTTGATGTCGACGCGTAAACGACGAAGATGGTCAAAGCCGGTATTGATCTACATCTTTTTAATCGTAAACGTCCGATTCGGGTTGTAAGCTGTTCGAATGAATCGATGTTCATGGACAAACTTGTGTTGACGAGAACGCCGACGCCGCCGACTCTTCTACTGTCGCATGTTCCGAGGAACAGTTCTTCTCCGGTATTATAGACAGCGTTGAAAGGCTGGCTTCTTCTCGTCTCGGCCAGGCCGATGACATCGTACTTTATCCTTCCTGCTTGCATAAGCAAGTCTTCTATCGAAGATTCGGATGCAAGTGTACGTGCATTATAGGTGCAGATCCTCACCTTAGTTCTTCGTGATCCAGGTAGCTTCCATAGGCCCTGAGATTTTAGCAGCCTCTCCGTACTCGTCCTACTTAAAACTGCGAAATTAGAGCTCTTTCGGAGTCAGGGGAATGACGCCCGTTCCTCTTACTGTTTTTAGCTTTTTGATAACCACTTATTGCTTGCTAAGCTCTGAACGTAGGGGCTGGGTACACTCACGGGTAACTTGCCAGGCTCTCCCAGAGCTAGACATGGAGCTTATTTGTTGGAGGCAACTCCTAACCGCTTCCTATATACTTCCCAGTCACTTGATTGCAGGCTTTTGGTCGAATTGACTGGTAGAATACAACCCGCATGAACAAGTACGCACCCACACACGCATGCATGAATACGCCTAGGAAATAGAGAAAGCATGTGCCAAATCAGCGCAGCAGAAACAGGGGGTCCGTCCCCTGAATCCACCTGCGTTTCAAGGAAGCAAAGGTCGCTTTTGGTACGCGATTAACCATTATCCGCCGCCTGGGAACGAGCCACGTAGCCTCGCGACTAACCGGCTTGAGATCCTTCATATGAGGGAGATCCGTGGTGCAAGCCTCTAATGGAAGTTAATTAATCTAACAAAAATGTAAAATTCGTTCCATGAGGTAATCGAAAAGCATTTTGTACAGGATTGTTTAAATCCGAACAAGTATTTCATATACTTCTGATGTTTCAGGCTCATCTGGAATCGCTCAATATTACTCATAGAGATCTTGCGGCTCGTAATATCCTAGTGGGTGAGAATAAACAATTGAAGATCAGTGATTTTGGAATGTCACGTCTTGGTGTCTATGTAAAAATGAGTAAAGGTGAGGATGATTTCGTAAAAATTCATTAATATATTCGTGATCATACGCATTAGTTTCAATGCATACATGACCTAAAACAATTTCACCGTCCAGCTTTAAGCAGGCGCACCTCTGTTGCGAGTGACTATTATTGATTTGAATAAAGAGTTCACATCTCTATATTTTTCATATACGTGTAATTGTTTTATAACAACGAAATTCTGGCTTTTTGGAAACTATAAGCTTTTAGCTTTTTCTCGCTTATTTGGGTGGCTTATACCTCAAGCGAAGCAGTCAATAAACAACTGAATTTCGTCCACAAGGGCAGGTTAAGGCCCACGATGAATTGTCGCTATTGACGGTTGCCATGTTTGCGTTAAATGCTTTAGACATTTGAGCTTTCCTTTTGGTTTATCCAAAACCTAGTTGCTAAACAAATTGAAAGTTGGAATAATATTTTGGAGAAAAATTATATAGGCCGTTTTTGTCAACCTATTACTGCCTCCCCAGTTCTCTCTCTATGAAGAAGTTCGTCCACCCAGAAGTATCGGCCAAACACAGAATGCTCTTGATATTTCCTTCGCATTGCCCAGATAAGAGTAAGCCAGTAGAAGGAATGATTTTGGGAGCAGCTTACTCAGTCATCAGATGGTAAACCTTCCTCTGATTCACAAAGGCCAGTGATGCCCTATGTTGACGAACTGAGAAAGTTGTATCATGGCTATCTCGAGATTTTAAGCAGAATAGAATTTTTCCCGACCAGAAAATACAAGTCAAATGACAACTGTGCTCGGGCCCACACAATGCTACAACAGATTACTGTACATATTCAAGTACATATAGGCGTTTAGAGGAGTAGGGTATGCTCTGTTAAACTCCACAACTGGCTTAATTATCAAAAACATTATCGGCAGTTCTTTTGTTTTTTACGAATATGTTGAAAATCCCAATTGTATACACTTCCAGGAATGATTCCGTTGCGTTGGCTCAGTCCTGAAGCAATACAAGACAACACTTATTCCACGAAAAGTGACGTTTGGGTGAGAAATTTAAAGTTTCAATGTTGTAAGAGAAAACGAAAAAGTATGTTTCATTCTGGAAAGTTGTAAAGATACAACGATTTTTACTACGAAGGTAAACAAAGAAATTTCTCCCCACATTGCATGAAGTTGTTCTGGAATAGTTGACCACTGCTAAAATTTCACCAGATTTCTCTTTTCCAATACTTAGCGAAGTTCCATTAACACACAGCTTTTTTTTAGTGTTGCCGTAACCACAAAATAAAGGGCAAAACTTAAGTGCCAGTCTTCCAACATGTTTGTTGACTCAGCCTACCCGTTGCCTAATAAACATGTGCATGCTCGAATGGATAACTGAGAACAAAAAAAACAATGAGAAAAAAATACTGCATTCAAGTATTTGCTACCACGTGCCACAGGACGTGTCATTTCTGTAATGCAGTAAAAACGTAAAAGCCGAGATTTTCTTGATCACACCTCGTCAACGGATAAAGACACCTACCCTCACAGTAGAAGACGTTTTGCTGAATAATTATTATTACTATCATCAGATAACCAAACACTCCAGATTTGTGGACTTCCAGAAAGTTGGGATAATGTAAAGGACAAATACTAGGTCTGGGAGTACGGAACGTTACGCGTGAGCTGATAGTGAGTTACGCGTGATAGATGTTGTTTACCAAGTACTAAACTAAATTTAGTGGTTAAAAGAATTGGTGTGGAGTACATGTGCTTAGGGCGTACAGTGCTTAGTCAATTGTTAGATAGTAGCAAATGCTCGTCAGCATACGGTCCATAACGGAGGTTCTGCTTTTTGATGATTTAAGTTATCATAAAAAACTACACACAGATACAAGCAACCATCACTACATATCATTCGTTTTAATTGTACAACTCAAATCCACCATCTCTATCTGATTTGCTTAGGCATACGGCATCGTGTTATGGGAAATTGTGACTTTGGGTGGATTTCCGTATCCGACAGTGTGCGACAAGGATATACTGCAATATTTGTTGGATGGTAATCGTCTGGAGAAACCGCTCAGTTGCTCTGACGAAATGTAAGAATCTCTATTGATTGATCAGTTGTATACGACCAAAATGTTAGAGTGATAGCATAGCACGACAAAAGTTTCATTTTGAAAAAAGTGGGTACTGATCGAAGTATGGCAATAATTAATGACGATGTCCTGAATTATTTTGACATTTGAAAGAGGACATCTTGTTTAAGACAAATTATTCGTGCATATGAAGAACAGGACATGTAAGACTTTTTAAGGTTACACTTTTATGTTCTGTACAGTAGATAACAGAAATGTTACACGTATATAATGCTGAGATATTTGCAAAACTCCGGACCGCAGGTGTATGCGGTGGGGAACGAACGCGCGCTATTGTCCTTTCCGGAGAGTAGCGCACTTCACCACCACACCATCCGGGTCCTTCGTTTCGCCTGTCTCTCAGCTAGTTCTATTGAACTTTTGCCATCAACAGTGTAGGCTAGGGCAAAAAGAGCAGTAAAGTGGAAAACACGGAGTCAGATGTTTCCATCTTTTCCACTGCGTCTTCAGCGCTGTTGATGCTTGCGTTCCTTAACTGATAGCTAGAGCATTCGAAGATATCCATTAATTTTTTCCTTAGACTCAAAAAAGACCGATTTTTCCACACGAACTATTGCACATCAATCCTAACTAGTGGGTGATATTATCGGCATCGATATGATATCAACGGTAAGACAAAAAAACGTAGATGCCAAACCATCACCATCCCGTTTATCCGATTTAACTTATCACGTCTTTTAAAAAAGCGGTCTAATATATTTCTTTGGATTTTCCAGCTCATGACATTGCTATACAAGTTTTATTCGGCTAACGTTTCGACATCTTCGTCTTCTTCAGAACGGATGATCATAATAGATGGTCCACAGTCGTTAGTCTGTGCTTCGGACCTTCGTTGTCGTATAGAGTCCGATTTTCTTCGGTGGACCACCTTTCTAATGAACTAGCCTCATTCAGCATTGATTTCGTTCCATGTCGACAATTTCACCCTGTAGCAGTCGGTATGAGAATAACTAGCACGTAGCGAAATAGTACCTTACTAAACCGACATTCACTTAGCCTCGTCGGCATGAATAATCAATATATTTCCTTGAAATTTTCAACTTACACGAGGTTGTTAAATAACTTGATACAACGAGTGCGAGCGACTGTGGACTATCGACCCGGATCATCAGCTTAAATAAAATACATTCAATCTCATGTAAGCTGAACAATGCAAAGGAATATATTATTTGCTCCGAGTTTGAGTGCAAATTGGTTTAATAGAGCGTTCTAAATTATTTTAATGAGATTATGCTGACTTGTCGAATACTTTGCTCAATGATGATGTCGTTGTAGAATTCTGAAATCCATGTTGTGAAGTTGCTGTATTGCTCACGGTACTTAGCAAAGACGCCCTTGGTGTCCAGAGTATCCAGGACCATTTTCATCTCTTCAGAGTCGACGACCCTTCTTGTAAAAAAGTTTGTAAGTAGCAGGCAAACTGGGCAATAATTGCCGGTACTGCACATATCCCCTTTGTGAAATAACATGGTCGCAATGATTTTGGAATGACTTGGAACCTTGTCCTGGTCAGGATTGTTGATGGGTTCTTCAGATATTGGTGTTCACTCCTGTCTGGACCGCGTGCTGTACAGTTTTTCATCGATGAGGTGAGATGTTGAACACAGCAAGGCTGGGCATCACCGAATGGAACCCATATCCATTTTTCCTGATATGATATAAAAGCATAGGAGCATTGAAGAAATGCTCTTCCCAATCGGTGTTCGTCGTTTTCTCCTTTTAAAATCTTATTTTTTTCTGAAAAATTCTGCGAGTTCTAAACGCATGTTGATGGTTTGACAAAGCCAATATAATTCCGTATTAGAGGATCAGCTATGGAGCTTGTGCAGACAGACGTCTTGGTAGCGTTAAAATACACACCTTTTTAGCACTGTTAAGCGAGAATTCGGCCTATCATATCGTCTTTGTTGATCAGCGGAATAAATGCTAGAGCACTACCACCAAAAGATCGTTGCCATCTTAGAAGAATCGCAGTCGTAACACAGAAATCTTGTCTCTAATGCACGAGGGGACGTTGAGAATCCGAGAACAATCTAGGATGGGTATCTTAGGATTCCTTGGAGAACCATGCTAGACCAATGTTCTATGTGTCAATGAGGATAACAGTTCACAGATTTGCAAGCGGCCAACGTGATATAAGAACATCTTATCACAGTAGGCTTTTCCAGACTCAGCCAGCATAGAATGGCTCTAAAATTTTAACAGTATCTCCTACTTGCATTATCCCATGCTTGATCCTCCGGGATGAGAGGAAAGAGGCCTTTTGTTTTCCAAGAAGCTCCCATAAGAGGCGTTCGAAGTTTTCCACTGTGATCAGTGCACGCTCACGTGGCTTCGCAAGACTGCAGATTCTTGAATGAAGAAATCCGTGGATTGGATATATAAGCTCTATGAAGCTACTATTTCGTTTCTGTGTTACGTCTAGCCACAGGAAGGCCGATGTTCAACTTGGAGATTGTGAAATAGATGTGCCATGAACTCTGTACTCTTCAAGAAAAGAACACATCTGAATACTATTGGTGATAAGAAGTATTATAAAAACAGATAGTAGCAGATGTTTGTTCTATTATAAGTGAGACGGCACGCCATTTTTCACCTAACAGCGTTGTAAGAGTTGTGAGCGTTGATAGCTAAAAATAAGATAAAAAGAATCCGAACAGTTGAGTAAACAACCTGGATTGCACCACCACGCACTTTACTGTCACATTGCTTCCCCACTCAAACGCAGCAGTTGCGGTCGTTCTGTGCTTCATCCAGGTCCCCTACCACACAGTACTTTTCACAAATGTAAAACTGAAAATAAGGACAAAGTCCTAAAAATCTCGTTTTTATCTTGAATGGATTTCTTTGTTAACGTAGGTGTAACTACAATGGTTCACGAAATTATCGGAGGATACACACGCAGCACAGTGGTTGTAGGTGGTCTGCAATATACACGTAGTCATTGGTTCGATCAAGCACTCCGGACTCACCAAGTTCTCAATCCCTGTGATGTTGGGTAAATTGATACCAAACTTTTCTGGGGGATAGCAGCATTGATCTGATACATCGGTATGTCGCCCCGAGTAACTGTATAGGTTAGGTATGCACTCAGTCACCTTTAACGACGCTTGACAAAGTCGGGTGCATAGCCCATCAATCAGGGATTGATGAACACCGAGAGCTTCATCCTTTATTTATACTCCTTATCTAAGGATCACACTAAAAAAGGGGAAATTACTTCCATTTATAGCATACTAAAACAGCTTAGCCAAAAAAATTACCATTCGTAGCTCATTGACATATTGACTGATAAAAAATATGAGAAAGATGTTGCCTCTGCAGTAATGAGAATCGGAATATGACATCTAAAAACAGTTGTCAGTTGGAAAGTTGGAAACATCAGTTGTCTTAACACTGCTCAGATCAACAATGTCAATTTCTATGAAGGAAAAAGGGGTAAAATGTTGAGCGTCAATTAATCCCTGAGGGTCACAGATATCATTCCTATCACTATAGAGGTAATTAAATGCATATTTCGCCTATATGCCACTTACGACCAACTGTCGATGTATAAATCCATAGTTTTTATCCTTGGAGAGCGGTTCGATACCAATTTGTCGATCGTGAAGGGATGGAAGGTTTACTGTGCCTATTAGGGGGCTAACTAGTACCTGTTTCGTGACGAACGGTATTATGACCATTATGCCACCGGCCCCTGTTCACATTTATAGATTTTAGAGTTTTAAACATCGAAACAAAACAGAAGAGAACTAGGTAAAAAACCATAGAGGTACCTAATGTAGTCATCAGCTCTACACGCACTTTTCCAATACACATATGGCGCGCGTTCACTTTGATAACATATTCTGTGAAACTTTGGCAGAAGAAAAAGAAATGAAATTTTGACAGAAATATGCTATTGTAGGGGAAAACCCTATTACAGAAACCGTTTCATGACATTTTCAGCTATGCCGTGATGAACGAGTGCTGGCGTCTATGTGTAAATGATCGACCGTCGTTCGTTTGCCTCTGCGACCGTTTGGGTTCGCTAACCATTCCCTACGTCGAATTTGCTCCAAACACAACACTTCCTCCACACAGTAAGCTCAGGTTACGGATATTTCACGACATCGACTCCGCTCTGTTATGAGCTCATGATGGCCGAAGTTGAATCAGCACCGCTGTCGTATTTTGGTTGTTGGAAAGAAGTGTGATTACTATGGTGGTGACCATGAGGTCTTAGTAGCACCATTCGTCAGAACAGATGCACATTGAACGACAAAACTATTTTGGGAGTAGTTTGCCTCTTGATGACAAATCTATCATTTATAATATTATTTCTATTAAGTATTGCCCGAGTATCACGGAAATTTCGGGAATTTACACCCACATTACATTACTGTTCACGTGCTGTGTAGAGTCTCGGTGCTAGAGTACACAAAACAACCCAACCTTAGTTTGCTAGCCCTAGAGATTTTTGGCTATATAGCGATCCCAAAACTAAGATGACTAGCCAAAAACAAGTCTGGTAGGAAATGGGGAGCAAAATGTGAGAAGTATGCAGACGACTACTGTAAACATTTAGTAGTAGTACTAATTAGTGTTGCATTGTGGCTTTATTTTTCAGACGGCTTTGAACTCATTGACAGTGGAACAATCATCGCTCAATGAGAATCACATCTACTGACGTAGCTGAATAGTTCTATTTAGTGCAAATTTTAAAAAGCTCTGCAATCGGGTTTCTTTTCTCAAGGGTATTTGCCAAAGGCTTCAAGCTCGATGGTACGGGTCTGTCTTCTTTTTTTCTTCGTGTCTTATATCTATTGTTGCATGAAAAATCAGTTATATGCTGTAAGTAGAGCTGTCTTTAAAAAGAATTAACTGCTTTAATGTGATGATTTCTTGTTTTCGGTGGCTTTCAGTTATTTGGATGATCTATGTATAATATTGCATAAATGTGTATTATGAGAGTCATAAAATCGATATTATATATAAAGGATAAACGAACGAAGTATTCGGCGTTGATCAATTCCTAAAGGATACGCCGTGGATTCAACTTCATCAAGCATCTTAGAGGTGATTGAATGAATATCTAGCCCATACTCACGGCAGAGTACCGATGTGGTAAGTCGATATTGCTATCTTCTCAAACAAGTCTGGTACCAATCTGCCGACTCCGGAGGCGTGGAAGACTTGGTGAGGCCGATATGCGAGATCGAATAAAAGACCACCTATGTATTGCGGAATGCCTTTAACCACTGCGCTATAAGCGCCCGATGTTATATATGTATATGTATATACAAATATATATACATTTATACCTATATATACATATGCGTATATATAACCAATTTTTATTTACTGCCTATTTTTTCATGGCAGAGTATGCTGTGAAATATAACGAGAATATAACCATAATGATACCGAGATATTGGCAAAACTTCGGATCGCAGGTGTCTGCGGTGGGGTTCGAACACGCTATTATCACCTCCGTAGACTAACGCGTTCACCACTACATCATGCGGATCCTTCGTTTCGCCTTTCTCTCAACTAGTTTTCTACCAGTCAGTGCCATCAGCAACCACCCATCAACGGGATTGATCTGTGGAGCACAAATTGGCACTAAATCCAGTTAAACCGAAGCTGTAGCACAAATCACAACATAATCAGTTTTTATTCACTGCCTATTCTTCTTTCATGAGAGTGTATGATGTGAAGTGTAACCACAATGACGCTGAGATATGTACTCTTTCTTTGATAATCTTACATGAGGTTGAGAAATAATATTTATTTTCGCCTAACTTTTCGATGGTTTCGTCTTCAAAGCTTCATCGTCTGAAAGATAGTGAGATATTTGAAAAACTCCAGACCGCAGATGTCTGCGCTGGGTATCGAACACGTTATTACCCGTTGACGGGTGATTGCTGATGGCACCTATAGAACATGGCTGAGAAAATGGCGAAACGGAGAACCCGTATAGTGTGGTGGTGAAGACCTAGGAAGGGTAGTAACGTGTTCGATCCCCACCGCATACACCTACGGTCCGGAGGTTCGCAATAATCTTTGCATCATTGCAGTCATATATATATATATATACATATATATATAAATATATATATATATATATATTACAAGCGCGTACACGAATGGACGCGAATGCGCAAACATCGACATGCTAATTTATGATCGACTCACATTTTACTATCTAAAGAATGACATTTGGAACACACGGAAATTGCAACGACATATCGTAACAATCTTGGATTTGTACATTAAGAAAATTTCCATTTGTAATAAGCGTGATTCACTTTTCTAACCATATTTTAAAATGGATGCAGTAGCTAGAGCTGCCGTGCGGTAAGCACGTGGCTGTTGTTTCAATCATGCATCTCGTGCAAACCAAACCAACCCTCAATAACTCGAAAGACCGACATTTTATAGACCTCGGCATAGATAGTTGATATATTTGTTTATATGATCTTATAAACTGATCTTCCTAATCTGACGCGAGGTTGGTACAGATCTTCGCTGTCATCGTTGCTGATGCTGTTGGTCGATGTGGCTGACGCTTCGGCAACTTCGCCTTTCTCAGAGCCTGGCCCACACGTAATTCACGTGGAGTCGCGAGCAAGACACACCCCGAGGTCAAAATATCATTTTGAGATAGGGCGCCAAGTCACGTGTGATAGTGAGGCATTCGTTTTTCCGGTTCATCTTTGGATTTTTGAAATTTACCCAAGACGCCTCAAGAGTTTTGCGCGTTACTGTTTTTGATTCCTGCGCTAGAATCCGCATAGTCAATTCAAAATCATCGCCGTTGTGCCTTTGTGTCCTATGCGTACCTAGAGAAGTGTTTTGACGAATTTTAACTTTCCCATCTAGATGTCCTTTTATGAGGACACAAAGTGGTCTACCAGTTTCCCCGATATATTCCTCGCCGCATGCGCTACATGAGATCAAGTATATTATACCTAAACTCATGCAAATTCCGTCTCTCCCGTTAGGACAGATCATACAGTTTTCTGAGCTGCACAAACGATAATAGAGAGGGTTGCGAACTAACTGACGGCGAAAGGTATTGGGTGGGATGTCAATAATCGTTACATAATTTTCAAGACCACTTTTTCTTAAGCACTTTTTAATGGCGTGACTTACTTCATTTGATATGAAGGATAGCTTAAAGGGGTCCGAAACATTATTTTGGGAAACTACTTTACGTTTTTGTCTAACCCGAGTGGTTTCTACTTCGTAGCCATTGGAAATGGCTATTTTTCGTGCCAGGTTTGCGATTCCTTCCTAAAATTTCTAAACCAATCCTGCGCAGGATTACGTGTAGTCTGCATGAAGTTCAAGATCACTTACGTTACAGGGTTAGGTTAGAAAAGTTAGGTAAAGTAGTACCAAGGGAGAGCTACCACCAATATGCCGTTCGGCATTGATCACCCATGAGTGATGCGCCGTGGATTATCTGTTCCATAAAATGACGTGGCCAACCGATTTATCAAGTTGTGCTGATATCCACCGAAATAAGTCTAGTACCGATTTGTCGACCCCGGAATGATGAATAGTTGGTGAGCCCGCAGCTTGGGAGCGAACCAAAGACCTTGTTTGTATTGGAGGGCACCTCTGAAAACTGCGCTACAGGCGCACTCATAATCCGTACATACTTACTTGAGTGACCGCCAATGGCAAAGAATCATGCGGTCTCCATCGGAATTTCTGTTTGACTATTTTTTTATTGGGTAAGCATGTTAGCGCCTGTTCAGGCAGCCATCAGAACTTGTTACTCAGAAGGTTCGCTATATCCCGACCAAGTTTCTCGATGGACGGCGACAATTCCTTAAACTGTCTCGCTTTTAGCGAGTTGTACGGCTGTAAATCTACGTACCTTCTTTACAGAAAGATATCACGCGGACTAGGGGGAAGCAATGTGCCGCGTCCCCTGATGGCGGATAGGGTGTTCATCGCTGACCAAAAGCGACCTTTGCTTCTCTGAGACGCAGCTGGATTCAGAGGATGGACTTCCTACTTCTGCTGCGCCGATGTGGCACATACCTTCTCTATTTACCAGGACGTATTCATGCATGAGTGCTTGAGTATGTTCTCCTTTATGGGGATTTTATTCTACGAATCAACTCGGCCAAAAGCCTGCAATCAAGTAACAAGGTAATATATGGGAGGCGGTTAGGATTCGCCTCCAACAAATAGGCTAGCTATTTTGGGAGAGAGTGGTAAGCTCCCGTGAATCTACCCTGTCCTCACGATGAGCTCAGCAAGCAATAAGTCGATGTCCAAAAACTGAACACAGTAAATAAACAGGTCTCATTCCCCTGACCTCGAAAGAATCCCCAATACAGTAGCGTTGGATAGGGCGAATACAGAGAGAGTGTTAAAATCACAAGGCTAATCTAGGCTGCCTAAATAGCAAAAGACTAAGTTGACGATTTGTACCTACAATGCACGCATACTTGCATCTGAGTCATCGGCAGAGGACTTGATCAGGCAGGTAAGAAGGATAAGGTATGACATTATCAGACTAGCTGAGACGAGAAGAGGCCACCCATTCAACGCCGTCTGTGTTTCAGAGAAGAACTGTTCCCGGAACACGCAACCGACAGTATAGGAATCGGCAGCGTCGGCGTTTTCGTCAATACGAGTTTGTCCACTAACATTGGTTTATTCGAACAACTAAAAACACGAATCGGACATTTACGATTAAAAAGATGTGGATAAATACCGACATTGCCAATTTTCGCCGTTTACGCGCCAACATGAAACTATGACGAAGAAGAAATCGAAGCGTTCTATATGGACTTGAAGAAGTTTTTCAAAGAAGATCATACATTCTTTAAGGTCGTCGTTGGAGGTTTTAACGACAAGAGTGGAGCCACAAAAACGTCTGAAGAACTTCACATTGGGACCCACGAATTGGAACGGAACGAGGAGGGTGAGATCTGAGTTTATCACGATGACCAAGACCATTCATGGCAGCGCGCAATTCCAGAAGCCCCTCCGTTAACACGATGTGGGAGTCTACCAAAAGAGAGTACAATAATGAAATAGACTACATCGTAGTAAATTGAAGGTTTTCCCTAACCAATGCCGCTACTGTTCCAAAATTCCTACACGTAATCGGAACATCGCCTCGTTCGCGGAAGATTTCGCTTGTTGCGGAAAGGAGAAAAAACCGGCAAATTCAAAAAACGAAGTTCCAAAATCACCGCACATTGAAATTTACTCAGTTCATTAGTCTAATATTGGGAATATACCGTTCTTGATAACATCACGACCGGCTCATACAGCATCCTCACGCTAGTGCTATGAAAGTTTAGAGTTCCATAATCACCAGAAGACGTCTGTCTCCAAAAACACTCGAACTGATACGACAGCTGGAATCGTACGAGCTGCAGGAGACCGCCAGCTCACGTACGAACTTGCAAAACAATGCAGACAGGTGATAAAAGATCTTAAAGAATGAAAAGCAGTAGTTACTGTCGACACCTGAAAGGCTGGTAAAAGCATTCGAAAAGCCCACCAAAGCTTCACCACTTACAATACCAAGATTATTGCACTCCACGCCCGGACGAAACAGTTACAGCTTCCAGAAAGGTAGTGGAGAAATCCATTCACGAATACTACTCAGATTTCATTGCCAAAATTATTTACCGTCA